GACGCATACAAGGTGAGCTGCAGAAGGGGGCATGAGGACGCATACAAGGTGAGCTGGTGCGACTTGGCAAAAGCACGTCCAAGGCAGGGACAATCTCTCGACTCACCTCTTCCACCGTCAAGCCGTATGCTCCACGATATTCGGAGCCATCGGCTTGGGCCGCTCCGTAGCACCCCACGCTGGCCGCCACCAATGGCCGTTGCCGTGTCCCTCCCCCCGCCTCCTCGGTCTTCCTTTTCCCTGCTTCTTCACGTGAATACGCCGCCCAAAATTCGTCACGGGCCTCAATTGCCAGTGCCACTCCTTTACGGATCAAATCCTCGGCTTGCGCTCGGGTGACACGGACACCTGCTGAGCTCATGAACCCCTCCAAGCTGGCCTGGTACGTCGCCGCTGTTGCTATGTCCGCACCAGCTTCGAAGTATTGCCTATGCACGGCTTTGATGGCTGAAGGGTGGGTGCGCAAACACCCCGCCGACCTGTGAATAAGCCACAGCGTGGTAGAAAACAATTTCTGGGGAATGTGCGTGCTTGAAGGCTTTCTACGACTGCGACATGGGATGTGATAACTCACCACAATTTAGAATCCAAGGGTGCACCGATGTAGGCCTCCAGAAGCGTGCCCATGCCCCCATCACTAATGATGCAATTTTGATGGGCCAGCATGGCAGCTAAAGGGTTGTGTGATGATTCATCGCGCATCTCAATTGACAAGAGTGGCACCTTTTTAACCAATGTAAGCTACTCGCCTTACTCTGGCTTCAGCTCCTTCGACTCTCTTAAATCGTGAGCTTTCCAACGCGAAAGCCCATTTTGCCACATAACTTGTGTATTTGGATTGAGAGATACCTGGAAAAGAGGAGATATAGCCCCGAGAACGCGTAAAAGTGATGTATTCCCATTCAAGCCCGGCTGTGGGACGTGGACGTGCCTGAACTTGACGTTCTCGGCGACGGTCCAGACCTCGGGGGGGACCAAAGGCTTATCGGGGATCTTTTTCGAGATCGTGCTCAGTGCTGGGTGCGAGTGGGAGGCATCTTGGAAGGGGGGACGACATTGTACGGGCGTGCACATGTTTCAAGGTGGGAACCGTGCATTGGACAACACATTCGGGCACCGCGAGTCTGGACTTATCTCCAATCCCTTCCCACACCAGAAGCAGAACACAGCGAGTACGAGAAGCTCGGATAGCAACTATTCCGTCCGAGCTCGACCGTTGCACCCCGGACACCGTGTTGATAAAGCCTACATTCTGGCACCTGCGGGCGTGTCTCCTCGCGGTGTGGCACAGAGAGACCGGGCAACGAGGCAGCCTCGAGGAGAGGGCGACCCCATTTCAACAAGCTTAGTGGAGCTTCCACGCTTACAAGAAGGGGTGGAGGATCCCACAGACCGCCCCGTTGAGGGCAAAATCTGTCAGAAAGACGCCAGCCAGACGGAAGCGTCGTCGACCTCGTCTCCCAGTCATTTGGAAGCCAGTCGTCGCGGGAGGAGTGCGAGCCCGTACAACGACGACCTCCGGCCTCCCCCGGCGATGCAAACCGGGAAAAGCCTCCAGACGCATTGTGCTGAGGAGATAACTGGCAGTCAGAGCAGCAGCGGAGGCGGCAGCAGTCATCTCGCCTCGCCTCTTTCGTCGCCCAACCGACGTCGCTTGCTCCTCCTCCGACAGAGTCGAGCCCGCTCCCACCAAGACGCCTGCCCGTCGACACGAAGCGCGATGGGTATGACCAGCGAGGGCGACGAAGGGCAAGATGAAATACTTTTTCATCCACACGGGAAACAAACAGAAAACACTCCTTTTTTCAGACTTCAGTCGCCCAAAGAAGTGCAGGCCGGCTTCTACATCTTCCTCTTGACCGGGATCTGCGCCGTTTCCTCCCTCCTCTTTGGCTACGACACGGGCGTTGTCTCCGGCGCCTTGCTTTCCATCCGGAACGACTTGCAACTCTCGGAATGGGAGCAGGAGCTCATCGTGAGCATCACCACCATCGGGGCAGTCGTCGGGTCCTTATCGGGAGGTTTCTTGACCGAGCGAGCCGGCCGTCGGCCCGTAATCCTCCTCTCCTCTGTTATCTTCACACTGGGCGCCGTGGTGATGGGGGCAGCGCCTTCGTTTTTCCTCCTGACCTTGGGGCGGGCTGTGATCGGTCTCGCCATCGGGTTTTCCAGCATGACCGTGCCCGTCTACATTGCCGAGGCCGCTCCTTCCTCCATCCGCGGCCGGCTGGTGACCATCAATTGCATTTTCATCACGGGGGGGCAGTTTGTGGCGGGGATGGTGGACGGCGGCTTTGCGGAGGTTCCGGGCGGGTGGCGGTACATGCTGGGCGTGGCGGCCATCCCCGCTGCCCTGCAGTTCATCGGGGTCCTCTACCTCCCCGAGTCTCCCCGGTGGCTGGTGGCGCGAGGGCGCGTCAACGATGCCAAAGGGGTCTTGGAGAGGCTTCGGGCGTCGGAGGATATCGCCTTCGAGCTCGCAGAAATCGAGGAAGACGTGGCGGCGACGGCGTCTTTGCCACGGGCACGGATGCGAGACCTGTGCACCTCCCCACCCATCCGGCGGGCAGTGACCCTCGGATGCGGCTTGATGCTGCTGCAACAGCTCTCGGGCATCAACACGGTGATGTACTATTCGGCCTCTATATACAATATGGCCGGGTTCTCCGACACCACGTCCATCTGGCTGGCGGGGTTCACGGCCTTGGCCCAGTTCGTGGGCATGCTCACGAACATGAGCCTGGTGGAGAGGTGGGGCCGTCGCACCCTGGTGCTGACCTCGCTGAGCCTGGTGACCTTGTCGTTGGTGGTGATAGGCGCGAGTTTTTACCTGGCCATGGCCTCGTCGCAGCCGGTCGGCGTGGTGGATCCGTCATGCGCGCGCGTCCACAATGTCTTTGTCGGCTCCTTCCCCGTGACTACGTGTTTCCAGTGCGTCGAGAGCGCATCTTGCGGCTTTTGTCCTGCCTTGGGGGCCTGCCTGCCGGGAAACAAGACGATGGACAGTTTGGGCACCTGTCCCGTGGGGGACGGAACGGGTGTGGCAGGTCCCTGGGCGTACACGGTGTGCGAGAACCCGTATGGGTACATGAGCGTGGCGAGCATGGTGCTTTACCTCTTCACGTTCGGACTGGGAATGGGAGCAATGCCCTGGACGATCTGCGCCGAGATTTTCCCTTTGCATGTCCGCTCCTTGGCGAACAGTTTGACGACGAGCGTGAACTGGCTCGGGAACGTGATCATTTCTGCCACTTTTCTGACAATCGCCAGCCCCCACGTTTTGACGCAATACGGGGCCTTTTGGATGTACGCCGTGATTGCCCTCTCGGGGCTGATCGGACTGGCCTTCACTTTGCCGGAGACCAAAGGCGTGCCGTTGGAGGAGATTGAGGCCCTCTTTATCAAGCCAGGGGATCGGATACGAGGGATGGACGAGGTGGAGGAAGGGGTGCTCAGAGGGCGGAGCCGGGACTGGGGGGAAGAGGAGGGGGCGTCGCGGGTCACAGACTCGCCGTCGTCCAGCTCGCCATCCTCGGGGCCCAGAGAGAGTCACCGACATGCGGCAAGAAGCACGCCCGGTGGCGATGGGAAAAGACACGGGGGAGGCGAGCTTTTGTCCTATCATATGGGCTGAAGGGTGCTCGTTGACATCGGGAAGAGAGGAGAAGTGTACAATAAAGTGTATGGGGAGAAAGCAATATATGAACGATTAGCGACACAGGATTAAATAGTGAATTTTCAATTGCCTGCAGCTTTGTGTACAATTTTACATCCTGCTGTGTAAGAACGGGCAACCTTGCTACCCTCAATAAGCGACTTTTATTGAATGTGCCATTAAGAACTATGTCGCCGCAAGACTTCCAAGTTTTTGTTACATGCTTTCGCTCAAGCTTATGCACCATGTCTGTGGTGTAAACAGGTCAGGTATCCACGGCGTCGGCGCTCATAGCAAAGGGTTGGAAGGACGAAAAGTGGTCATAGAGCAACTTGCTCAGATGCTCCTGCTCTTGACGATAGCGTACGTCGTTTGCCACATTCCGAGCCACTTTATCTTCCATCTTCATCTCCTCCATCACACCTTTTCCTCTGCTCATGTCCATCGCATACAGCTCCACGGCTACAAGACCTGCAGCATTCCATCTAGGCCGGGCTCGTCGCGCCTCCCACGTGTACCACTCTGTGTATCTCCATCCCTCCACTCTCACGCTGTACCCCATCACATCGATCTTGTCGTTCTCAAGCCAGGCACATTGCCGATTCCATCGATATCCCTGGGATGCCAGTCCACTGGGAGCCAGCGAGGTGCTCGCACAACGGGGATACTGGGAGAAGGCGGCGCCGAACCCGGTCGCATTTTCGGTTTCATTGCCTCCACTGCCCCAGCGCCGCATTAGAGGGATCAAACTTCTTCCTCGCATGTTGGGATCAGGTAGTGTGAGCCCAGCCAGGTCCAGCAATGTGGGGTATATGTCCACAAGCTGGACGATTGCCTCTGACAGGCCGGCTGTCTCTCTCTGTTCCTTTTCTCGGCGCGCCTCCGATGGCACTGTCAGACCGGGGGCTGACACGAGCAAAGGTACGCGCGTGCCGATCTCTCGCGTGTTTTGTTTGCACCACATTCCTTCCTCGGAGAGATGAAAACCGTGGTCAGAGTGGAAAACTATGGCCGTGTTCTCGTCGAGGCCTAGCTCAGTCAAGGCGTCCAAAAGCTTTCCTACATTCGCGTCCATCCATGTCACTGCCGCATAGTACGCCCGTCGCAATTCTCGTTCCAACTCGTCTTGTAAGGGCTCGTGGGGCGATAGGACAATCTCCGGCATGGCCAGCTTCCAAGGCGGCTCCGTGCTACAGTTGTAGTAAGCGACAGCTGGCATGCCTGGCGGGGCCACTCGGACCGAGTCCGAGGGAAGGCGGACATCTCTCAGGGAGACCTGCGCGTCAAAGTAGGCCTTGGGCACTGCCCAATCTAAATGAGGCTTCCGGATCCCCACGGCGAAAAAAAACGGTCGATCACCTCGTCCTTCAACGGATTGTGCATGTACGTGCCCGCGTAGTCGCTCAATCGCCGCGTCCACAACCAGCCCGTCCGTAAAGTTACCTTCAGGCATGTCGGGAGTGCACCAACCATGCTGACCTTCCCCACAAAAATCTTCTTCAGGAGCGTAGTATGGGCACTCTGGGGACCAACTGTACGGATTGTCGTAGTCCGGCGGGCTTGGAATCCCGTCGTCGTGGAAGGTCTTCCCGAAGCCACAGGTCAAGTAGCCCGCGTTTTTGAAGGCTTGAGGTAGAGACACAGCGTCGGGCAAAGTGTCCCGGAAGCTCGTTTTAAACGTGTAGGACTGTGTCTCGTCGGGATGCCGCCCTGAGAGAAATGAATTGCGCGAAGGCCCGCACACGCTTTGCTGTGCATACGCACGCAGAAAGTTCACGGCACGAGGAGCAAGTCGATGTTGCAGATTAGGAATGGGAGCTTGATCTATTTTTCCACCAAAAAGTGACAAATCGGCCGTCAAATCGTCTATGATTATGTACAGTATGTTCTTCACTGCGAGAGAACCGTTCTCCGCGCAAGGAGATGTGGGATTGCAAGACGTCGTGGCCGGGGCGGCGGCTACTCCGATACCGAAACCATGACCAAAGAGCGTCAAAGTATATATTGTCAACTTTAAAAAGGTGAAGAGTTGAAGCGCCGTGAAAAACTTGATGCAAACGTTATGCACGAAATGTGCTCGGTTCAAAGTCATGTGTCCGCCAGTTCCCAACGCTCTGGCTGGTATTGATAGTAAAGACGTTACAGCGAAGAGCTTTTTGAGTGTCGACGCTTTGTTGATACATAAAATGATTGAAAAATGATGGCATCGAGTTAGAAAATTCTGTTGCAGAGGAGTGCTGAGAACCGAATCCCCACGCTCCCGTGTGAGCGGAGGTATATGAAAGCAAGTGATAAAGGAAACTGAGGAATCCACTGCTTCGTCCCACAGGCAACAATGGTGGACATGAGGTTCACCATGCAGGTGGCACGACGTTTATGCCTAACCGTAAAGGTCGCGTCCCTTCAGGCTTTTGGGATCGCATTTGAATCAGAATAACCTCCCCCTCACTTCAATTCGAACAAGTCGACACAGACAACTCCCACACTTTCAGAGCTCTCACCACAACCTGTCGTGATTTTTTTTAAAACGCACCCGCGCACGGTCCAGTATGCTGATCGCTTTATCATGAATCTACTCCGCGCTAGCAACCTGGATGGAAGGCTTCATCAATTCCTCGTCTTCCATGCTTTTTCTCGTGCGAGGCCCCCCCTATCCTCCCAAGCATTCCCATCCGTCATCTATCATGCTAGACGGTGCTTTGCACAAATAAATGGCAACCAAGTGCGAGTGGGAAATGTGTTGGAATACAAAGGGAAGCTTGTCATGGTGAAAAGGGCTCAAGCTGTCAAGCCAGGCAAGGGTGGCGCGTTCAATCAGGTCGAATTGAGGGACATCAGGACAGGTACTTACCGTGGTAGTCTTGTCTTGCATTAGACTACAGCAGATGCAAACAATGGCGCGGACAAATGTATTTCGTTGAAGGATGATCAAAAATATGGTTTATGAATGGGAAACGTTTGCATGGTAGTTGCACTGGGGGCAGGAAATGCTTGAAGACGATTGATAATGTCCTCCACGACATCTTTTCCTCTGTTACTAGGCCTCAAGTACCACGAGCGGCTACGAGCGTCGGAGAGTGTTGAAAAAGTCAGGCTAGACGATGAGGAGCTTTACGATTACCTTTACGAGGAAGGGGATAAACTGGTACTCATGAACAAGCAAGACTTCACACAGATAGAGGTATCCCGCAATGTGCTCTCGGAAACGGAGCAAAAATTTTTGCAGGAGGGCCTGACACTTCGCGTCCAGTTTCATGAAGGATCTCCCCTTTTGGTACGGCTGCCAAGGACGCTGGTGGTTGAGGTAGCGAGCACGGAGCCCTTTAGCAAGGGAAGCCAGGCCAGCCCCACGTTTAAGCCTGCCACGCTGAGCAATGGAGAAGTCTTGAAGGTCCCGCCCTTTGTGGGGGTCGGTGAGAAGGTGATAATTAATACCGAGGAAATGGAGTACCAATCGAGGGTGTGATGGACCCGGGGCCATGCTCCACCGGAGATGCCGGCTGACTCGTGAGGATGTGGGAACGTCACAGGTAAGAGATAGTTGGCCAGTGTGCCTTCGCGCAAATTAAAAAAACAAAGCAACCTGGCCGCAAAACGCGTTCCCACGTGACCCGTTCGGAGGCAACTTTATTTTGCTCGACAATCTCTCAGCACTTCAAAGTCGAGTCTGGGGAAAAGCTTCCCTAAAATCATCCCAATGCCGGCTCCTTTACGGCGCTCCTTCATTCAACACCAGCGCACTTTTTACAGTAGTCCCACACGGCCTGGCATTCTTGGTCGTTCTCCTGCCACGGACAAGCAGTCTCCTCCCCGTTTACCCAGTACGTCCCAGTTTCCATCGTCTTCATCCCTTCCTCTTCCATCACCAGTTGCACGGCCATTTTCGCGCAAAACTCTGCAGAGTCCCATCCTTTTTCATAGCCCACTCCTTTCAGAATTGCAGACGTGGTCACTCCAGGGTGCATGGCGAAGACTTTGACTCCCGAGTCCGCAAAAAATTTGGCCCCCGCCCAAGAGAGTTGCCTGTCCGCCTGCTTGCTTTGCTTGTAGGCGAGCATATTGTTATATTTGCGCTTTTCGAACTGCATGTCCGTTAGATCTAAATCTCCGGCGAGATTGGATGCCACGTTGATGATTCTCGCCTTGCCGGATTTTCGAAGAAAGGAGGAAAGCGAGAACATCAGGAGGAAGTATGAGAGCACGTTGACGCAAAATTGGGTCTCCAGACCGTCTTCGGTAAGCTGCCGGGTGGGAGGCACGGTTGCAGCGTTGTTGATGAGGACGTCAAGGCGTGGATAAGCCTCTTGGACCCGCCGAACGAAGTTTCGCAGGGACGAGAGGGAGCTCATGTCGCATGCCTCCAGGTGGACTGGCCCTGCTTGAGCGCCGGCCTTTTCGAGGATGTCTTTGACGAGCTGTTTTCCCCTCTCGGCATCCCGCACCGGGAGGATAAGTTCACAGCCTTTTCCTGCCAAGCTTATTGCGATTTCACGTCCGATTGCTCCTCTACAAGATTCAAGAACATGGAGGGTGTTGAAGAAATAAGCGAGGAAGCAGGGGGGTGACATGCGGGGGTCATTTCCCAAAGCACTTGTTGGACGGCCGTACACTTTGAAATAATTGCTTTACCCATAGATGAGGATGAAATCAGGAGCACTTGCGATCACGTAGCTAGGCAGACAAGGGGGACGAAAGGAGGTCGGGAGACGGGCAGTTTGTGTCAGCCGCGACCTTCATAAATACCCATAAATACTTACGTGGATCCTGTGAGAAGGACAATCTTGCGTGATCCGCTGTTTGTCATCCTGTGAGGGAAGTGCGCCAGCCGTGGGAAGTCTTGTAGCCGGGACGTTGAGGATTAACGCGGGGGCAGGAGGTGATACCTACCGAAGCGATAAGTAACAAAGGATCGACAGCGAGCACACGGGCGGTCCTCCCACCAACTTCACTTCCCTCCGGTTGTACTCTGACAAACCAGCCACTTGAACAGACGTAGCACGGACAGGATCATGGAGGACGGGCAAGCCCTTGCTGAGGAGGAGGAGGAGGAGGAGGAGGACGAGGGAGAGGAGGAGGAGAA